CATTTCTTCTATTTTACTTCCTGAAAGTCCAGGGTAATGCGAGCGCACTTATTTAAGGAAGAACCTTTTTGTTCTTCGGGATTTGAAAAATGGTGCTGCAAACCTAGAGATAAGGGATAGGTAGGGCTAATGAGGACCAGCTTTACCTCTCAGTTGGCCAGAAATGGTTTTAATCATCAGGGTTAGGTTCTTGGAGGCTTGGTCCCTTAACTTAGACCATTCTCTTTCCCACAGAAATATAGATATTTCTTTTAATCTCCTGGCTTGCCTTTGAATAGGGAGCTAAATGTCCATGAAATTTTCAGACTTATCTGGACTATTGTATTTTGTTGTGATTTTGGAGGAAATCACAGGTTTTTGAAAACAATTTCATTAGTGGTTGTTTCAATTAGCCCTGAAGTTTACTCTTTTTTTTTTTTTTTTTTTTTTTTGCTTTTTGGGTGACACCTGGTGATGGCACAGCGGGTAGGGCGTTCGCCTTACACGCGGCCAACATGGCCGACCCGAGTTCGATTCCTCCGCCCCTCTCGGAGAGCCCGGCAAGCTACCGAGAGTATTCGATATGCCAGACACAGTAACAACAAAGTCTCCAATGGAGACGTTACTGGGCCCGCTCGAGCAAATCGACGATCAACGGGAGGGCCTTTACCTTTACCTTTACCTGGTGATGCACAGGGGTTACTCCTGGCTCATGCACTCAGGAGTTACTCCTGGTGGTGCTCAGGGGACACTATGGGATGCTGGGAATCAAACCCATGGTTGGCTGACTGCAAGGCAAACGCCCTACCCGCTGTGCTATCACTTCAGCCCCCTGAAGTTTACTTTTAATAGACTTATTTCAATTTAAAAATAATTTGTTTTAGGGCCTGTGAGATAGTATGTGGACAACACCAGATCCATTCCAGCACAGTATATTGTTCCCTGAGCACTGCCAGGAGTGATCCCTGAGCACAGAGCCAGGAGTAAGCCCGTTCCCCACTGGGTGTGACCTCAAAACCAAAAAAAAAAAATTTTTTTTTTTTTAATGCTGTGAATAGGAATGTTCACCTAATTGTAGTTCCTCTTCCCACCACCACAGGGTCTTTTAGGTCACACCAATGATGCTCAGGGGTAACTCCTGGCTCTGCACTCAGAAATTACGCCTGGTGGTGCTCAAGGAACCGTATGGAATGCAGGGATTGAACCCCGTTGGCCACACACAAGGCAAACACCCTACCTGCTGTACTATCACTCTGGCCCCACATTCATCTCTGCTCATCATTCATAAATCAAAAACCTAGTTTCTCTTTTTAGTATTTAATAGAGTGTGTCTATTTTTGACTTTGGAAAATTAAGTAGTTACTGTGTAGTAGGAAGTCTGTATCTGCCTTTTTACCCTGTAAAGCATCACATGCTCTTCTTCCGTAGCTGGTTGCCATCCATCCGAAAGCTAGCATCATTTCCATCTGGGTTTTCAGGGAAAGAAGGGAATGACTTTGAAGCCTTATTAGAATGGTCCCTAGTGAGGTGTCAAGTCTACGGTTGGTTAGTTACATTAATAAATATCAGTTTTACTGGTTCCTAGGTCTTCTTTCAACATCTTCTGTAATACTGCAGGGATTTCCTTGTAAATTAAATTACCTGTAACAATGGTGTTGTATTTTATGTTCACTGAACTTTTAAAGAGAGATACCCAGCTGTGTAGTAAAAAGGCAGTTCAATAAAAAAGGCCATAGGTGGAAAATGAGAGTTAGTTATTTAACTAGATTCACTTTAGAATAATATTTTCTCCAGTGACTTATCTAATAATTTGGAAAGCCCTGTGTAATTGAGGCAGGAAAGGGATTCCCAGAGATGGAAACGTTTATGGTTATTATACTACAAAATTTAATACACATTGAAAGGCTGCATAATTCTGGGAAATTCAGAGTCCCTGTGGCAGCATTCCTACCAAACTTTAGTATTGAATGAGTTGTGGAACAGAAATCAACCATTAAGTTTGGAATATGGAATGGCTTAAAGTTCGTCCCCCCCCCCCCCACTCCCGCCCCTTTCCCAGTCTGCAAATACTGGGTTTAAATGAGACACTGTCTTTGACTGTACTCTAGAAAATGTGGCCACTGATGTCTAGGGCGAAGCATACATCACCACACAGAGTTAGCTGAGTTTTCCCATACAAGAGTTTACCAAAGAGCAAGAGAATTAGATGGATAGCAGCATGCTAGAGAGAGGAAACAATGAATGAATAATAAACTCTTTGCAGAGAAGTTCCCAATGGGGCCATGATAAAAGCAGGAAATTCAGAGTTTATTAAGCTGATGTAGGGAAGATTAGAGGCTTTTAAATATGGGTCTGATTGATGTAAAGGTAAACTTTCCTCAAGATAGTGGGATCCAGTGCAATGATGAGGACTGTGTGACCAATTACAGAGTAGCACCTTGTTGATGGAAACTGTGCATGGAAAAGGCAGATAAATGGTGCTCACGGAAACTAGGAATAGGCGAGAGAGGGGACTTGAGAAAAATCTTTATTGGCATCCAGATGTGGAGTCGGGTGGGGAGTGACTGTTTGGGGTAGGCAGGATGGGACAGAGCCATCCTGACAGTGGCCCAGAATGCTAGGTGGGTTCAGCCTTGGGGGGCACCTCCTTGTCAAGAAGGTCAGCAGCTGGTGGGAAAGTGAGTCCAGGAGGAAGGTCTCAAGCAGGAATTCAGGAAGAATGAGTGAGGCATCTTAGAAAGCTGGGTCTTTAACAAAGGCGTCTGACAGAAGACAGGGGACCACCGGGTTGGAATAGGGAGGCTGGAACAGAAACCCCCTTCTAGATCACTGAGGCCCCCACATGGAGAAGGCTTGGCAAGAAGCGCTGGAAGACAGGAACCAGGTGTTTCCCTTGCTGCACTGGGGTGGGAAGGGGGGAATCTTAGGGGCTGCGAAAACCTAGACCCAGGCTCCTTAATCTAGGAGTTGGGATTCCGAGCTCGAGGTCACAGCGCCTCCCAAAGGCCTGGAGGGAAGGGATGGTTCCAGGACTCGGGAGGAAGTGGCCGCTGCAACGTCCTGCTGGGGAATGCTCTGAGACCCTGTGCTGTGTCCTAGAACAAGAACATCACCGGGGGCGACGACACGCGGCGTTCACATTTCGAGATTCGCGGGCCTCGGGAGACACCTTATCCCACCATCCCAGGTCCACCCAATCCCACCATCCCAGGTCCATCCAGGCGACTCCAAATCTAGGCTCGAAAACCCGAACCAAACTGCCGTCACCTTACAGGCGGGAGTTCTCAGCTGCCCTTGGGGCTGAAGAAATTCGGGCTCAGCGTGGTCCACCTGTGGCCGGGGGAGTCAGGATGCAGTTCCCGCAGGAGAGAGTGGGTGGCACCGGTTCCCTAAAATTGGGAAAAGGTGCGCTGGAGCTCACTTGCGCGTCCCCCAGTCCCGGAGAGATGTAGCGACCGAAAAAACCCAGGGAAGTCAGGGCGACTGAGCGTGCAGAGAGGCCGGCGAGGCGTCCCAGCACCCCTGGGGCCCGGTCCAGTTCAGGGTCAACCCAGCCCGGTTGGAGCCGGGGTTCGGCTCTCTCCAACCCGCGTCCCTCCCCGAGCCACTTCGATTAAATGTTTAATTGTGAATTCTGGTATGGGTTTCTGGGCGGTTAATCACAGCTGGCTCAATTATTTATGGCTTTTGGGCAAATTTCCGACCAAGATAAGAAGTCTGTTCTATTGTGAAGCGCCTTGCAGGAACTCTTATAAATATTTGATGATTCCTTTCAGCTACAAGTCCTTCTGCGTCCACACCCCCGCCACGCGCGTGGCGAGCGGACTTTGGGGCAGCTCTGCAGGTGGAGCGTCCCGTCCCCGGTGCTGGGCGCAGAGTACCCCGCGAGCGGGCCGGGGATGTGTGCTGCGCCCCCAGTCCTCATCGAGAGGATCCGGGGTGCAGCCCGGGATGGGGGGGTGCCGGGCCGGGTCCTGCCCGGGGTCTCCCGGGGCGCGGTGTCCCGCACTGCGCGGCTCGAGGTGTTTTTAGGTGTTTTTGCGCGTAGCGCGCGGCGAAGTTCTCCCTCCCACTCAATGACCCCCGGGGTGGGAGCTCCCCCCCACCCCCAGCCCCTCGGAGCCCGCTTCACCCGCGCTTCACCTGCAGGGTGGGTCCGCCTCTTTCGTTCCTTTCTTTTATTTGGGGGATGGCGGGGGGGATACCCTCGTCGATTTGCAAAGAAGTGAAAACTGCACATATCTTACTTAACCACCCAACTGCTTTGTGAGGCTCTCTGTCCTGAGTAGGAAAGCCTGTGTTTTTTCTTATTAAGGAAAAAAAAAAGCACCAAGATGGGACTTGCGGAATTTTCCAGTTTCCCACCCCAGAAAATCTGATGTACCCAGACCCCGCAACCCTCCACCCCCCGGTTTTTCTTTCCCTTCGGAGGTGTCTGATACTTATCAGACAGCAGTGATTACTGATGTCACTCAATGAGCGGCTTAGCACTGGCCGCAGGCTCCAAGTGAAAACCCAAGGGCTGAAATCAGGGTCCTCTCTCCGGAGACTCCTGGACACATTTGCCCAACACAGCGGGTAGTTTGAAACATTTTTCTAAAAAAAAAAAAAATCTGAGAAAACTGTGACCTGTGGTTTTATTCTCTCCGCCAGCTTCGTTTCTGTTTCTTCGTTTCACCATGCTCAGCAGAAGATATTTGGGGTTACTCGCGCTGGTTACTATACATCCCACCACTGATTTTAATTCAGGAGAAGAATTTTATTCAGCTCAGAAACGCTGCGCAGGGCTCTCCTGAGGATGGGGAGACGGACCAGGCCAAACACAATGCTCTGAATTTTAAATAACCCCCAAACACATGTAATGAGAATGAAAGCATGTTGTAAACACCTTCACCCCAAACTTTAAAGAGGAACAGTTAGAGCAAGTTAAATACGTAATTAAACTCCTTTTGGTGTTGGTGTTGATAACTTTTTTTCCCTCTCAAATTTGTTCTGCCTTGACAAGAAGAACCACCATTGCAAACCGAATAAGTTATTTTATTAAAGAACAACACAGACTCACTAATTTTATGTCTAATTGTACCCATGTTACAAACGCAAACAATATGTTATCATAAAGTGGCACTTATCAAACTCCAAAATATTGTGCAGAAATGACACAAACCCAGCTTGCAGAATTAGAAAGTAGAACATTAAAGTATCTACAGACATTATAAATAGTGCAAAGTATATACCATATCTACAGTGCAGGGGGGAGAGTATAAACATAAGAAAATGAGCTTAAGAACGAAGGTTTGTTTGAACAATTTAAAATATTAACAAAGGTACTCAAATACAGAACAAACCCAAACATTTATTTTTTCTCCTTTTTTAAGAAAAACTGCCGTGCCTCTTCCCAGGCCCGCTGAGGAAATCTGTCAGCAAGCTCAAGATAGTCTTGGGAACCAAGACCTTTTCCTGAGAGAAAAAAAAGAAAAGAGCTCAATGAAAAAGAGTTAACATTTTTTTTTGAGGGTTAAGAAATACAAAGCTTTTTCTGAGTACAAAATGGAGACATGCGCTTCAAATAAACCATGATATCTTTACACAAACGCAAACAAAGTAACTGACCTCTGTAGATAAAAATGTTGTGCCTCTACGATATTGAAACCCTATGTACAACACTATAAAAAAATACTATTTTAGGAGGAGAAAATAATAAGTAGGAGGAACCAAATGAAAAGACAGGCAGATAATATATCCTGGAGTCTGGAAAAGGTAAATCTGGATGTATAATTGACTTTTGTTTCTAAAGGATTCTCTTTAATTGAAACATTATTTAGTATATTACATATAGCCAAGGAAGCTTTATTGACCACTCCTGGAAGCCAAGCAGTGGGCCTCAGAGCTGGGCCTTCATCAGGTCACTGAAAGCCAGATTCTTCCTGGGTAATAAGAGTGGGTGGACAGGAGCTGCCATCTACCTAGGACTCAGAGGCTCACCTGTGTAGGGAACTCAAAGCACTTGAGACATTTTATGGGGACTTCATCTCAGTAAAAAGGGAACATGTTCATGGTGCAGACTGGCAACTTTGTTGTTTTATTTTTGGGCCATACCCAGCAGTGCTCAGGGCCTACTTCTGACTCTGTGCTCAGGGGTCACTCCTAGCGGGCCTCGGGGGAACATACAGGGTGCCAGGAATTGAACCTGGGTTGGCCGTGTGCAAGGCAAGTGCCCGACCTGCTATACTATCCCTCTGGCCCCTAAACTTTTTTTTTTAAATTTTCTTAATCAAGTGTGCCTATTGGAAGCTGTCCAAGAAAGTAAGGGCTCACCATTTGCTGTTTGTGACTCAAGCCGTTCTCTGCAAGAGGGGAAAGTGTGAACTTCAGATGAGATGATTTTCTTGCAAGAAAGGGGTAAAATCCCCACAGGCAGAGGGAGCCCCTGGAACTCTGCCTATCATCTCTGCAGCTATGACTTGCCCTTATAGACAAGGAAAAAAGAACAGTGGGCTGGACAATGGGTCAGGCGCCTCCCTTGCATGCCTCCGACCTGGGTTTAATTCCTGGTAACTTCTATGGTCTCCTGAACTTGCTGGGAGTGGCCCCCACACAAAGAATATCTATTATTCTCAGTGGCAAAAAAATAATAATAAATCTGTCCAATTAAAAATAAACATGTTTGAAAGATTCTTCTAGGAATTTCTATATATTTTAAAATAAAGTTGTATAAGGATAGCAATAAATTAAAATAAAATATATGATGCTTTCTGGATCACCTACAATACCTTAAAAGGCAGTGTGTGTGTGTGTGTGTGTGTGTGTGTGTGTGTGTGTGTGTGTGTGTGTCTGGCATACGTGACTAAGGCAGGGCAGAACTGAACCTGCACATAAATTCTGGCTCAGGAAAATGGGATGCTGTCTGGATGGTGGCTGGCGTTTCTAAAGAGGACACAACTTTCTGTTTACTTCTTGAGTATCAGACCCAGGAAAACTGGGCATTCCCCCCAGACCATTGTTACGGCTTTAATTAGAGGCTCTTCTGTGAACTTTCCAGCACCTGCAGCACAGTACAGACAACTGTGGGCATAAAGCAGAGTCCACGGCCAGGACTATCTGGAGAGTGCCCCAGAGGGTCTCTGCTGGGTGCAGGCCTCTGACTGGCCACTTTAAAGACTATCACGCTAATGGAAGAACTGGGGTGGGGGGAGTCTGGACCAGGGACTCATTAATCAGAGATGCTGTCAAGACAGGCAGACAAAGAGCAACTTGTACTTCTCAGTTATAGGCTGAGTCGTAGAATATTTAAAACATGAAAAATTAAACTTTAAAAGTCTACATCTCCAACTCTTATCATAAAAAAACTCCTCAGCAAAAACAACAAGAAGAATAAAAACCTGAAAATCTCTGCCCCCGAAAGTTGCTAAAAAAAGACTTTTTCTCCATGTAATTTTGCTTTTCATTTTCAATTTTAAAAAGTTGTGTATACTGAGTTTAAAAGAACTATTAAGCCTCCATCTCTGATGATTTTATTTTATTTTTTTATCTGATGATTTTAATGTGAAAACAGATTAAACCTATGTGACTCCAGCATTTACCTGAGTCATATAGGCCAGTATTAATGATCTGATTGTCTCCTGCACTATAAAGTTGCTCTTCGGTAATTGTTTCAACATTCATATCTTCTGTGAGGTGAGTATAAATTACATAAAGAGGTTTTGTGCTTTTAAGGAGCTTTCTCTGTATATTCTGATGCACTCTGGCTTAAGGACAAAATGATTCTGTTACTGAAATATACGTGGCGTTTGAATCTCAATGACCTACGGTGGTGTAGTAAGTTGATGTCTCTAACAGTTACAGACTGGGGGGTGGGGGAGTGGGGAGAAGAGAAATTAGTCCGCTCAGCTAACAAATGTGACAGTTCCGTGACAGTTCATTTCAAGAGACGTACCTTTGGGCTGGTAAGACTGGTTATCTGTTTGCCCCGGTGTCTGTGCAAAATCCTGCATGAGACAAGAACGTATTTTTATTCCAGCATTATGACGGGAAAAATCTGTCGAGGGTGGCTTAAAAAACGTTTCTGAATTCTGCTACAAGTATTTTTGCATGAATACTTTGGAACTCAAATATAGAAGCTGAAGAAATGAATGTTATATAGTCAAGGTTCTAATATGTTTGAGTCCAAGAATAACAACTTTTAAACATTATGAAGTATCATCAGAGTCGGGGTTATAACCTTCTTTGGAAACTGCAACTTAATTTTATATCTAACAGCCTGTAAAATAATTTAGCCAACTTCACTGTTCTAAAATATTGGTTTGAACATTTTTAAAAAAAAGGTTTAAAAATGAAAGCCCCTATACATTCTGTAGCTAATCTTAAGTCTGGTCATTTTGCTTTCACATGCAATACAAACGCAATGCACATAATATGTAAATCAGAAGATGTAATATGTGAATAAGAAGATGAAGACAAATTACCGATTGATATTTTACATATAATTTTTAGTGATTATTCATAATCTAATATCTGTGGGCCTGGAACTGTTTTGTAACTACAATCCAATCTATTCCTTTGAGCATAATTTTAAAAGGGGAAAAAAATGAATTTCATTCCACAGATCTCACATGCTATCCCAAATACGTTTTATAAGAAATTTCAAGAGTATTTACAAAATTTGCGTTGAAATGTATGTCAAATTTGCACTACACTCATATTACAGTTAAATGTAAGAAGATAATGAAGTACTTGGAGATCAACACCAAATAAAAACAACAGACAATTTCTTCACTTTAGATTTTGACAGCACTTGTATTTTCAGAAATAAATGTAAGGGCCTACACTGGGACAGATGCAGAGTCATTTTCGTCAACTTTCACTGTCTCTCCTCACACCACAACCACACAGCATCTCCCGGGCAATTCCATTCCCCTTTCCTGCCTTGCTTTCCCCCCCCCCCCCCCCATTGCACTTAACACCTGACGTTCTATTTGCATCGCTTATCTGCTTGTTTTTTGTTTGAATTTTCACACTGTAATGAAGAGATCTGTAGGGGTACACAATATTTATTCATTTTTGCTATTTTCAGTCTTGTCACAATCATGGCTTTATTCCTAACACCTAGAGTAGTACCCAACATTCCCTCACACTCTTGAAAAGTTCCCTGTTGCTCACAGAACCTCAATAAAAAATGGGGGAAAGACAAAAACCTAAAAAGTATTTTACATGTTGAGCAAAAGAAAGATGTGACTTTAAAGGATTCATGATCTTAAAATTCTCTCAAGTATGTTTTCTATTTAATCTTAAGGCTCTAAAGAATAGATGAAGCACCCTAAATGTTTTAGGAGGTAACGTGTTACGTAAGACTCCTCCGAAGTCCATGCCCCACCACAAATCTGAGTGTTTTGGGAAGTATTATTAAGAAAATAGAAGCCGGCTTCAAAAAGAACAACTGTACTGAAAGGAAAACATTTCTGAACATAATAAACCTGCTTGTGCTGACTAGCTGATAGAGGGCAGTTTTTAAAAAGCAGACTACTAATTGAAGACAAAGGTGAAGAGAAACTTATGATGGTGGGGGGGCACTTCTCAGCTATCCCAAACAGCTAGGCACAAAAGCACCCCTCAATGGTGTTCTGCGTATTCGAAGAAGGCAGTCCTAACAGAGAGTTCTGCTTTCTGTTTCATTATTATGGACAAAAACAGTGTCTATTAATCACAAGTACATCATGGAACAAAAACACATTGGTTTTATGGTGAAATATTTGAAAGATTAGCAAACAGTGATTTACAATAGGAGGGGGGAAGCAATCACAGGATTAATTACAAGCAAATGTTAAAGAACAGTCAGCCTGATTTTTCTATTGTTGGTTGACTGAGTTAATTTAGATGTGGACATTTTGCTTTGCGTGGCTTCGGCACTAATCCTGGTATCAGTCTTGCAGAATTTAACTACACTTTAAGTCCTCGATTGTTAGAAAAAAGCCACGCAAAATGTTTTCGGTTTGCACATGTAAAAATGCCATTTATGTGAATCAAATAGATGGAAGTTTTGATGATCTTTAGCACTTACGATCTATATTCTATCGCTAAAGGAAAAGCGAGATGAATGTAACAGTTAAAACCTTAAGAAAGTCCTGCCGTCTTTTAGGAGCATTTCTCTAATTTAGGTTTACTATTTCATTCAATGGGGAAATTTCCTTTTCTTGAAATCCTCCAAGTAGTTGTTCACAGACCTCCAACCCTAGCTCTTAACTCTCCTGGTAACTGGAACTTCATTCTTCAAAGACAGAATCGTGAAGCATTTTTTTTTTTTGGAAAAGGGAGCGTGGATGGCAAGAATCCACAGCAGGCTTACTTTTCCTTTTCCTTAGCTTGTGCCCAAAGCCAGAGAGCACTAGGCGGAACGCAGACGTACGGTACCTGAATGAACGTGGCCAATAAAACACAGCTCATCTCCTGCTCCAGGATGATCTTGTTCTGGCGGTTGTCGTAACAGGCAGCGATAAGCGAAGGGAACAGCACTTTGATCAGGCGGGGGTCACTGAAATACTGGAAGGGCAGCTGACAGAGCTTCTGCAGCAGCGTGGGGTGGCGGCCGGACTGAACGATGACCTGCCAGAGAAAAGGAGCCCCAGGTCAACCGCCAAGATGTCCCAGCCTGCTCGGTGCCACCCGGGTCCACCTCCACCCCCTCCCACGGTGTCCCCAGAAACATGCGAACAATCAAAAGGAAAGAAAGACTCTCAGCTCGTTACTGGGGCTGAAAGGAGGTGAGATTCCAAAGGGACCGGAAAGCAAGCAATCCCGTTTCCTAACTTAAGAGAGAAGTTTCCAGAAGCTCGCTTGTCATTTGAAAAAAAAAAATATATATATATATATAAAATCCAGAATAAAAGGCACCACTGATACACATGGAGAGGATGCCCTCGAAATGGATTTAGGGATGCCCCAAACCACAGGCTGAGTTCCTTAAAGCCTCCCGTGCAAAGAGCTCCCTCTTCCTCCCTTGACTGACCCACCGGGCCCTGCCTTCGCCCTCCTGCGTCTCGCTGCTGGGCGGTACTACATCCAGGTAGCTCCAGCCCAAAGGCAGCTCCTGTGTAGTCGCATCTAATTCCATCAGCCCTCAATAGGAAAGGGGTGTTGATGGGGGGTGGCCCGGGAGGGGAGCGGGGAAAGGCTCCAGACATCCCTTCCTGCGCTCCAGACCCCTTATCTATGCTCCCATCAATGCCATTGAGTCTAAAAGGAGAATTGTTTAGATAAATGAGACTGTTGTCTTGGAGCAGTCTAGGTTTACAACTGTGTACATTTTAAGAAATGGGGGCACGCAATTAATGGGTTTGCAGGGAAGCCCTCCTAATTTACTCCCCAGGACCACATGATACACTGAGACATGTCCAGATCAGATCTGTTTCAAGTAACCATGATCAGGCCGTTCTAATATGAAAGAGCTGGGTGACCCGAAGCCTACTTCTGGGTATCGGAGGAAGCGCAGAGAAGATTAGAAACACTGTAAAAATCTAAGGTCAGGACTGTAAATTGTACTTGGGGAAAACCCCCACCATTTTACAGGTACACACCCAGACAGGACTGCAGTCAAATTAAAACCAGAAGGACAGAGTGAAATAGCAGAGGCAGGAGAAACATAAATTACAGGGATTTACAAGTTTTCAAAGTACTTTTAACAATACTTTAAGAACACACTCTCAGATGATAATGCAGTTTGGTTTAAGAACAAAATCAACAAAGTAATAGTTCACATATTTTAGTTCAATAGCTAAAATGACATCAAAAACCTTGAGAGAATGTTGATAGGGACTTGTTAATACCTTCAAATCCAGCAGGAATTTTAAAGACTCGCAGTGTGACAATTCAACACATGGCCATGTGCTGCCATTTCTGACACGGGATGAGAAAAATATGCCCATCAGCTGCTCTTTTGATGAAGCCCTTACTTAAATCTTAAAAAAAAATTAATATTCGCTACAAATTTGGTAGCAAAGTCCAATCATGCCCGTGTTAGAATACAAAATAATACCATTATCATGTGTCTCTTTCCTGCTCTGAACAAAAAATTATGAACAATTGTCTTTTCCTTGGGGCTTCATTATTAAAATGCTATGGCTGGGGCTGGAGAGACCGTACACTGGGTACGCTTGCATGCAGAGCGAGCGGCTGACCTGGGCTCAATCTCCAGCACCTCATATGGTCTCCAGAACTCCTGCCAGCAGTGATCCCTGAGCACAGAGCCAGAAGTAAGCCCTGAGCACGGCCAAGTGTGGCCCAAAACCCAAGAAAGAAAGTAAAAAAAGGCTATTGCTGCTAGAGTCACGGACTGAAAAGCTACTAAAGGGGGGAGAGGCTGGCGCAGGCACGCTCGACATTCACTCAGAGACAGCAACGCCTGGTTCTTGGAGAAGAAGCACAGCTCAAGGGAGCGTAAGCCGCACTTTCTCCAGAGGGATTCCTGACCTCACCGGGTGAGGCTCAGTCCCCCAGGAGCAGAAAAAGCTGAGTTTATAGAGGTCATCAGCCTAGTAGTGAGATGACTGGCTAGAGGCTCCTGCTTTGAAGTCCCTGGCCCTGCAACAGATATGCATGATGCAGGCAGGCGGGTTACCTGGGGGCACGCAGTTCCAGCCCCAGGACCACCCAACACATGGAATGGGACACAGCCAGATTACAGGGGTGGTGAGAGCCACATCCCCCACCCTGCTGGCTGTGAGCCAGAGAGGGCCACCCAGTCAGCACTGTCCTTTGAACCCCACGGCAGGCACTGGGGGGATCCCAGGTTAGGAGGTCCAGGAAGGAGGCAGCTGACAGCACTCAACTCAGCCCAAGGCTGCGGGATTCAGGTGGGCCCATGGCACAGAAAAGGGGAGGGCTGCAGCTGCCCATCCCGGGGCATGGGGGCGAGGACAACCAGGCCAGTTTCCGGGGAGGCTCTGAGGCTGCGGGGGGTGGGGTGGGGCTAATGACAGGCCTCATCTCATCACTTTTTTGAATGCCCGAGTGTCTCAGTATCATCCTGGTGGGCTCAAGCCCCCCAAAGTGGAAAGGCAGCAGAGGCTGCTGGGATTGCCACAGTCTAACAGAATAAAAGGCCTGTGTGTCCTGAAGAAAATCTCTTTCCACAGGCTGCTTACAGGTGCCCTAAGGAGCTGTAGCCCATTCAGCGAGGGCTGGTTGGCCACCCTGGTCCAGGCAAAGCCTGGGATGATTCATAAGGTGGGGCCTGGAGTGAGACCTCGTGGCAGACCCGAGTTCAATCCTGGCAACCCATATGGTTCCCTGAGCTCTGCCAGGAGTGATCCCTGAGTACACAGGGTATGGTCCCCTCAAAACCAAAATCATAAGGTGGGCATCACTTGGAGCCTAATCCAGCCACTGGCTTCTTCTTTCAGACCACACAGCCAAAGCCAGCACCCAGGGGCTTCCCACAGAGCTCCCCTCTTCTGAGCAGGGTCCAGGGGTGAGGGAGGGGCTGGAGACAGAAGCTGGGGAGTGGTTGTGGGCTGCAGTACCATGAGAACCTGCATCTCAAATGTGATGCTCGCCTCTGGATGCTGAGCAGGGCTCCAGGGAAACTGAGGGAGCATCCTGCAATGTCCAGACCCAGACAGATCCTGAGAGAGCGGCCTGCAGTGTCCAGAGGGACAAGTAAGTGAGTCTGGATCCTGCTTTGACTTCTCATCCCCAGGGGGTTGCTCACTCGCTCTGGATTTCACAGTGGTGAGTTATTTTAGTTTTGGGGGAGCACCCCACAGTGCTCAGGGCCTACTTCTGGTTCTGTGCTCAGGGATAAATCCTGAGTGGTGTTTGGGAGACCACATGTGGCACCCCAACAGTTTTTTTTAAAGTTAACTTTTTTTTGAAGTGTACCACACACCCCCCCCCCACACACACAATCCCCCCCCCCCCCCATATTCTTGAATCAATCAACAAATACAGGGAAGAAAATGTATTTTAGAAATTTAGGAAGTTTTAGCACTGCAGCACTGTCCTCCTGTTGTTCATTGATTTGCTCGAGCGGGCACCAGTAATGTTTCACTACAAATTGTTACTGTTTTTGGCATATTAAATACATCATGGGGAGCTTGCCAGGCTTTGCCGTGTGGGTGAGATACTCTCAGTAGCTTGCTGGGCTCTTCAAGAGGAGCGGAGGAATCAAACCTGGGTCGGCGGCGTGCAAGGCAAACACCCTACCCACTGTGCTATCGCTCCAGACCAGAAAAATTTTAAATTTAGAAAATTTAGAAATTTTAGAAAATGTGAGGCTTGGACTGAAGCAATAGGACAGCGGGTAGGGCTGCATGTGGCTGACCTGGGTTCAAGACCCAGCATCCCATATGGTCTCCCGAGGACTGTCAGGAGTAAATTCTGAGTGCAAAGTCAGGGGTAAGCCCTGAGCATTGCTGGGTTTGGCCCCCGGACAAAAACAAACAAAAGGAAATGTGATGCAACTGGCAGTGTGTGCTCTAGCTCCACGGAAAGAGGGTGGGGAGGCCCCGAATGTTGGCTCTGCCAAGAATTTTGGAGCAGACAAGTCGCCCTGTCCTCCAGCAACGAGGCCAGCTGGCTTCACTCTTCGTGGTCTCTACCAAGAGAAGCCAAAGGGGTGCGCTGGCCTGAGAGAGGGGAGCCGGACCCTGTGTCACCGCGCATCTCCTGTATGGGTGCTAGGGCAGCACCCAAAAATTCAGGTCCCTTCCCCAAACCCTCAAGTGAGGCTGCAATGTGCTCGGGAGAGAGACCACCCCCAGGCTCTCGGGCTGTACAAAACAGTGGGAAGGTCAAGGAGCCTGGTACCTGGGCGAGGTGGCAGCGAGGGCAAGTTGCCCCTGACTGGTGAACGCGGAAGCTCTTCTGGGAGGGGCTGCTGCGTCTGCGTGACTGTGTAGGACCTGGGCCCGGGGGGCTCTGAGGGCATCTCACCTCAAGCATCTCCTGAAAGCTCAGGGTGGGGCCACAGGGGATCAGGTTGAATCAGAAGGAGAGGGACAGACACAGTGATCTTTCTGACGTACGGGGTCTAAAGAAGCAGGGCCACGGAACAACACAGGGCCCAAAGCAACAGAATCTGAGAAGTCATCTACAGAGCTAAGCTTACCATGGTGGGGAGATGCGGGGGTGGGGTGGAGGGGCTGAAGTGGGGGCCCCCTGGGGCGATGGTGGAGGGAAAAGGACACGCTGGTGGGTGCTGGGATGTTGCATGCACGCAACCCTGTCACTGACAATACTGTAAATCATGTAACAAATAAAAATGAAAACAAGACACTCTACTCTTGAGTGTAGTCAACCGAGGGAAACCACCCGACAGTGGAATTTTGGACTGGGTTGCTGGGGGAACACAGCGCTACCTGATTCTTCTTTTTGCTTTTTGGGTCACACCCAGCGATGCTCGGGGGTCACTCCTGGCTCTGCACTCCGGAATCACTCCTGGCAGTGCTTGGGGGACCATATGGGATGCCAGGGATTGAACCCAGATCAAACGTCCTACCCACTGTAGTATCACTCAGGTCCCCCCCCCGCCCTTTTTAAAAAATTTTTGTTTTGCTGGGACCGAACCTGGGTTGGCCGCATACAAAGGAAGGATCTTACCCACTGTA